GAACCATGGCCTCCTGGTTCACAGGTCTATCTATGCTCCACCACTGAGCCATGCCAGCCGGGCGGGGATTCTTCTCCTGCACGTTCCTTTTCTCTTGCTTCTTCAGTTATGCATTCCTGTTCCAGCTCCAACACCTCCTCACTGGTCAGTTCCTCAGGAACCTCCGCTAGGAGCTGCTCAATGCCATCTGCACCTGAAGCCAGGTACAGGGGTTTGCCGTCTCAGCCACAGCCTTGGTGACTTTTGCAACCTCCTCATTCTTGGCAAGTCCTTTGACGTCATGGACCAACCTCTTGAGTGTCTTCTTCGGGACGCCACTCATACACTCCTGGACGACATCAGCCCAGCCCAGCAAGGCTCCTGACGCGGAGACAGATGCTGCAGGCCTTCATCGTTGCCTCGGCGTATTCTCAGTGTCTTCCTCAGGGGCAGCAACAGCCTGGGCAAAGGTCATCCTCGGGGAGTAGGTCTTAAAAGCTGTCTTAACTTCTCGATGGATTGTTTGGATGGCAGAGATGGTGTTTGGAGAGAGAAGCGCCACTTGGAGACTGGGATGAAGATCGCCAATAAAAGGAGCATGTCTGGGAGCGTTGGCAACAATAAGCAACATCTTGAAAGACATGTTAATCTCCAAACATACCTCTCTCTTGTGCGGACATAGCACCCGAGGAGGGCGCCTTGGAAGAGGAGCTGGGTCACTCGTGCCTTCTTGTTGCCCCTGTAGGACACTGCTTAGTGAGAAGCTCAAAAGCCCGGGGTTCTCACTGTACCATATTAAAGGGATTCCATGTGTAGCCTGTAACACAGTCCCAGCAGAAATGTTATCCTGTCCTCAGAAGCCTTGAAAGCTGGCATTGACTTGGCCTCCGCATGGACCAAAGAACATTCAGGCATCTGTTTCCAGCATAGGGAGGTGTCATCACTATTGAATGTTTGTTCTGGCAAGTAATTTCCCTCCTAAATAAGCTCATCTAGAGTTTCCAAAAATTCCCCGGCCGCCTTCACACCAGCACTGGCAGACTCACCACTCACTTCCACATCATGTATGAATAACAATTCTTTAAAAAATATATGTGTTTATTGATTTGAGAGAGATGGGAAAGGAGAGAGAGAGAGAGAGAGAGAGAGAGAGAGAGAGAGAGAGAGAAACATGGATCGGTTGCCTCCCATATGCACCCTGACCAGGGACCAAACCCACAACCTGGGCATGTGCCGGACCAAGAATCAAACCAGTGACCTTTGGGTGTACAGAACGAAGCTCCAACCAACCGAGCCACACCGGCCAGGGCTCAACACTGATTCTGGAACTGCTTCAATCACCTAGAGCTGGCAGGAAATTCATCGTAGCCGGGTCCACCCTTTTCTTTCACCAATACACTTCTTGCTTCATCATGATCGTCAGGGTGCTGAGAAGGACATGCTTCTGTGTCTGGTCCCTAATCCAGATCATCAGACGTTTCTCCACGTCTGATACGGCACCTTTTCAAATGTTCGTTGGTCTCGCTGCTTTCAGTGAAGCAGATCCTGTAATGACTTTCATTACTTTTCCCTTGTTTGTCAAGACGGTAGCTGTGGTGGATGGGAGAGGCAGACTGGTGAGCAGGGACCGCCACTGATTCTCCATCGTCGGAGACCGTAACCACTTTTAACTTGATTTCAGTCACTCGACATGGCCTCTGAATGGCAACGTTAGCGGTGATTTTGTATGTTTGGGACCATGATGAACAAAACACAAGATTAAATCAAGCACAGGAGAAAAGGATGCAGTTAGGAGACTCAGTAACATGGCATACTGCTTTACCAGGACAGCAAACTTTTTTTTGATGTTGTTAATTCTCACCTAAGGATATTTTTTTTCCATTGCTTTTCAGAAGAGAGGGGAAGAAAGGGAGGGAGGGGGAGAGAGAGAGAGAAACATCGATGTAAGAGAGACACATCGACTGGTTGCCTCCCATATGCACCCAGACAGGGGGCAGGGAGCAATCCTGAAACCCAGGTACATGCCCTTGACTGGGAATCGAACCCAAGACCCTTCGGCGCATGCATTCTAACCACTGAGCAACACTGAGCAGGGCTACAGCAAACTTTTTTCTATAGAAGTAGAAAGAGTACACTCTAAAAGAAAGATAAAGATATAGTAAATACAGAAACCAATAACATAGTCATTTATTATCATTCTCAAGTATTATGTACTGTCCATAATGGTATGTGCTATAGTTTCATGCTGTGAGTGGCGCTGTAGGTCTGTTTACACCAGCATCTCCACAGAATGTGAGTGATGGAATGCTCTGACGTCTGGACAGCTACAGTGTCACTAGGCGATGGGACTCTTTCAGCTCCCTTATAATCGTAGGGGACCGACCTTGTACATGCGGCCCAGGTGGACCGGAACATCAGATGCCTCGCATGATTGTCAGTTTCTGCATCTGTTTCTACAAAGGCTTGGACTGTGAGGTGTGGACAAAAAGGGGGCCACATGCTGACCTGACAGGCTCAGGGAAGGCCTGCATGGCGGTCTTGCAAACTCAGGGACCTAAAGTAACCACAAAGGATGGTCTGAAATGAAAATTTCAACTAAAAGCAGTTTATGGTGGGTAGTCACGTCCGAGGCTGGTATCTTCCCTGACAAAGGCCAGTCTTCACCTTAACTGAGCCTACTGTCTTTCTGCGTCTACGATAACATATCGTTGGAATGTCAAAGTCATTTTCCTTTTTCCGGACCCCTCAAAGCACAGGCACCGCTCTGCGGAGGGCCACCAATCCCCTCGTTGTTATTGAGTTAACTGTTGACTGTTGACTATCCTGCACCCACCCAAGGAAAAGAAGTGTGTCTGTCATTTACTTCTTATCCAATCCCAGAGGTTTCCCCGCTTTGTTTTCTCCCGCCTCCCTAATCTATCCCCAGTGGATTCCGTGTAACCCCCTTACGTCGCCTCTTTTTTTTTAAATATATATTTTATTGATTTTTTACAGAGAAGAAGGGAGAGGGATAGAGAGTTAGAAACATCGATGAGAGAGAAACATTGATCAGCTGCCTCCTGCACACCCCCTACTGGGGTTGTGCCCGCAACCAAGATACATGCCCTTGACCGGAATCGAACCTGGGACCCTTCAGTCCCCAGGCTGACGCTCTATCCACTGAGCCAAACCGGCTAGGGCTACATCTCCTCCTTTGGTTGTAAGGTGAACAAGGTGAAAAAACACCATTATCCGGAGCAGTATCCCAAGAGGTTGAGATTCTGCTTCCCTACAACTGTCAACAGTTCGGCTCAAATAAACTCACAAAATTCTCGACAGGTTTGAGTGTTTTTATACGTTTAACAGAGGGAACTTCCACCAGGGGTAGCACTCATTGTGAGGCGGCGGAGCGGGGGCAGTGGAGGTGACCCACCTGGAGACCTGGACTCGGCCAAAAGGATGGACCATGGACCCTTGTGGCAACCTACCTAATTCCTTCGGAAATAATGACAACACCTAGCAGTGGTATTTCGTCTCTTTCTGTCTCTGCTCTTGAGCCTTTTATGACTTTCATCCTGTTCACTCCTCAAGCCAGTCCTGCCCGTGGCCTTGTTCTCCTGACTGAGCTCGAAGAGTCTCTGAGAGGGGCAGGGCTGGGGTAGTCAGCGAAAGGTGGGTGTCTGGGTTCTCATTGGAGCGCTCTGTGTAGGACGAGGCAGCTGCCTGGGAAACTAAGGAATAGGGTGTTTGCTGATGGAGCCGTGAGGAAGGACCATCAGGGGTAAGTAGTCCTGCTGGGCACGGGGCTGTGGGAAACCATGGGAGGGGCTTCAGCCCCCCAGGCCCAGAGAAGCACCCAGAGCCCACAAAGGGGGCAGCTTGATGGGGCAGCAGTCAGCTCCCCTGGGATCTCGGGGGGCCTCAGTGGGGGATCAGCACAGATCGGGGGTCTGTTCGGCGGGGAACAGCAGCTCCTTTGGACCCCGATTGCTCCTTTGGACAAGGAGACCCTTTCCTTCTCCACCCTGGGAACACCACCCCCACCACCACCCCCCAGGCTCTAGGTCCTAGGCGCCCTGCCCAGAGCAACAGGAAGCACAAAACCAACGATACAGTGGATACCACGCCCCAGGCCGCTTCTGGGAAAGACCAGGGTGGGTTTGCAGAAGTTTTCAGCTCAGCCGGGAAGACTTTCATGGACTCATTAGATTAGAACCTTAAAAGCCCGAGGTGACTAATGAGTCTGGGAAACGCTCCAGGGTTGGAGGCAGACAGAAGGGCAAACGGGTTAATGACTGCAGGTCTGATCCCTATCCCCCCCAGGGGAGGAAGCCTTGCAGAAATCCATCCAGTTCCTGAAAAGCTTGTCAGGTAGGGTCTTGGGAGTCTGGGCTCTGCTCCCGATTCTCCCGGCAGCAGCATTGAGCTGGGCAAGCTCGAGAAGCCCCTTCGGCCTCATTTTTGGACACTAGACCTGCCTTACCTACCCCACAGGGGTTTAGAGAGGCCTCAGCAATACCATCAACGTGAAACCTCTTTGAAAACGATAAAGTTCTGTACTTTCCGCGAACGACCACACTAGGATACGATTAGCAGTCCAAAGATGGCACTAATCACATCGTTAACACGTATTTTGAAATTAAGATGCTTCCTAAGATGATACATAGTATACTTGGTACATTCACCCCGTGTGAACACCGTAATATACCGTGCCTTGATTTTATTATTATTATTATTATTCTATTATTAGTTTTAATAGTTTAGAGTTGGGCAAACAGAACGCGCAAGGTTCAATGTCATTTCCCTTGGATGCTTGTGGGAACGTTGGCTTTCTAAATGACGTTGTCATTATTGTCTACACAGACCCTCTCTGGAGTGGAAAACAATGGTCCCCCATATAACTCTTTCCTGCCCTGTGTTCAATAGTCAATAAAAAGGCATGCAGCGTGGACACGTCCTGAATTCCCGGTGCCTCCTGCTTACCCGTTGACGAGATTCCAGGAATTTTCTGGGCTACAAGGAAAAGGTCGTCAATGGGGTCCACCAAATGCTTGATGTTCATTTTCCTGGCGTTGTAGTAGTTGCCGTCCGCAGCCCTGCCTGCGCGCTCTATCGCCACCAGGTGGTCGAATCTGCCGGGGAGCAAGAGCACAGAGTCCTGAAGCAGAGGGTGCTGCCTCCTGTAGACTTTCGTGTGGAGGACAGGTTACTCTCTCTTGGAGTCCTTCATTCCTACAGACCTGGGCTGAACGGCTGCTCTGTGGCAGGGCCTGTGCTGGAGCTGGTCTATTTGATCACTGTAAGAAGTGATATCAGAATCTTTAGCAATTTATTAGAGTCGGAGGCCATGAGAGCAGGAAGGCTGAGGGTCAGGGTCACAGCCGTGGTCGATGCCGGAGCCTGGCCCAGATCTCCATGAACCGGCGGGGGAGCCGGCAGCCAGGGCTGTGAGTGTTGGCTGCTACTGGCCCACCACTGCCCCTTCCAGGCTCTTGCTCAGTTTACAGACACAAACAGATCAAAATGGAATTGAAGTATTAGAGTCTGGCCCTTTAAATACAGTTCCTCATGTTGTGACCCAACCATAAAATTATTTTCGTTGCTACTTCATAACTGTAATGTTGCTACTGTTATGAATCGTCATGTAAATATCGGATAGGCAGGATGGTCTTAGGCGACCCCTGTGAAAGGGTCGTTCAACCGCCAAAGGGGTCTCGACCCACAGGTTGAGAACCGCTGTATTAGACCAACGAATCTACCACATGATAAACTTCCTCAGACAGGCAGAGACAGAGAGGTAAGGGGTACAGGTGGTGTGGTGGGGAGGATGTAGGCTGTGGCATCAGCTCGCAGGTCCTCACGCCACTGGGCCTGGATGAGCGGCTTCACCTCTCTGACCCGTGTCTACGTCTGTCACGTGACCCAACAACGGCACCCCTCTCCTGCAGTGTGGGGAGTGGGACGCGAGGAAAGCCCGCGAGGCACTGAGCGTGCAGCACCACACCGACGAGATCCTCGGGCTCAGGGGCTGTGGTTGCTCTTATTATTGGAGGAACAGTGTGCTGATCATCCAAGTGAAGAACAGAGAAATTGCACTTTTATCTCTCTCTAAATCTGCCCCACCCCCATGATGGCGTTCTTCAAAATCTTAACTCTGCTGTGGAAACACTGTGGGGGCAACTCAAAAAATCTAAATAGAATTACCATGGGATCCAGCAATTCCACTGCGGCATACGCCCCAAAGAACTGAGAGCCGGGTGTTGAAGAGATAGTTACACACCCATATGCCTGGCAGCATTAGTCACAATGGACAAAAGGTGGAACCACCCCAAGTGTCTGTCAGCCAAGGAACCCGTCAGCAAAATGTGGTCTCTGCATGCCATGGAATAGGACTCAGCCTTCCAAAGGACAGGAATTCTGACACCTGCTACAACGGGGATGCATCTCAAGGACATTTTGCCAGGTGAATAAGCCAGTCACTAAAAGGACAGATCCTATGTGATCCCATGTACATGAGGGCCCTACAGTAGTAAACATACAGAGACATAAAGTAGAACGGCAGGTATCAGGGGCTGGGCGTCGGAAGGAATGTGAATGGGGACAGAGCTCCCGCTGGAAAAATGAAAGAGTTCTGCTGGAGATGGATGGTGGGGACAGCTGCACAACAACGTGTATGTCCTTAATGGCACAAAACTGTGCACTTAAAATGGCAAAAATGTGAATTTTATGTTGTGTATATTTTACCATAATAAAAACAACATCGTAACTCCGGATGCTTTCTCTGTACATGTTTTGAAAAACAAGACTTCCTGCCGGTCCACGTGCCTTGGTTGTGCTGGAATGACAAGCAGGTGGACGAGCAGGCCCTGAGCAGGTGCTGGAAGGTCACCCCGAGGCGACGTGCCCCGTGCGGGACAGGTGGCCCTTGAGAAGCAAAGCGACAGGAGGAAGGAGCCGGTCCTGACTTCCCTCTGGGTGGACACAGTGGTGATAAAAATCAGCTCAGCTCTGAGCTCTGGGCCAGACCCATGCAGCCTCTGTTCTAGAAGGAGAGCACTGTGTCTGGACCTTCCCCAGGAACACGCAGTGCCACCCCTCCTGAAGGTGCATTGATTAAAAAATATATATATATATATATATATGAGGCCTGGTGCACAACATTCATGCACTGGAGGGGAGGGGGCAAGTCCCTCAGCTCAGTCTGTGCCCTCTTGCAGTCCAGGACCCCTTGGGGGATGTCTGCCTGCCGGCTTAGGCCCGCCACCGCAGCTGCACTCGCCAGCTGTGAGCCCAGCTCCTGGCTGAGCAGTGCTCCCGCTGTGGGAGCGCACTGACCACCACGGGGCAGCTTCTGCATTGAGCGTCTGCCCCCTGGTGGTCAGTGCATGTCATAGCAACCAGTCGTTCTGCTGTTCAGTCGATTTGCATATTAGCCTTTTATTATATAGGATTATTGATTTCAGAGAGGAAGGGAGAGGGAGAGGGCGAGAGGAGAGAGATAGAAACATCAATCATGAGAGAGAGTCATTGATCAGCTGCCTCCTGTATGTCCCACACTGGGGATTGAGCCCACAGCCTGGGCATGTGCCCTGACCGGGAATCGAACAGTGACCTCTTGGTTCATAGGTCGATGCTCAACCACTGAGACACACTGGCCGGGCTGACTTTTTTTTTTTTTTAAGCCAGAAGGGTCCGTTTAGCTACCCAGGAAGGAATTCACTCCTGGGAACCTGCTCCCTGGGAAAGTTAGTGTGTCTTCTCTAAAGAGCAGAGGCCTCTCTGCCTGCGATCAGATCTGGCTCACTTCCCTCCATTCATCAGGGGATCAGATCTGGCTCACCTCCCTCCATTCAGCAGGAGAGCACATCTGTGTTACCCGGCCCAGGAGGAGTTTCTAGCTTCTCCCTGACGAGTCTGAGCTTTGTGTGTCTGCCACCCATTCAGGGAACATAAACATTCTATCAGGTGCCACACACATTCTCGCAGCTTGGAATAGCATCGGGTCTGCAATCACACTCTTCCTCACTGGGAACACCTGACTGTGCTGTGAGCTGCAGCACGGCTCTGCCCTCCAGGCCTGTGCAAGCAGTGTTCTTCAATCCTACTCGTCAGTGGGCGGTGAAATAGATTTATTAGGTCAGGTCGATATTTTCTGAAAAGTAGATGAAAACAGAGTAGAACAGAACAAAACAGACTAGACTAGGTTAGAGTGCACTGCCTGCAGCAAGTAAATACTGTTATTTCAAAACTTCTGTTTCAATTATGTGTGTGTGTGGTTTGCAATGCAAAATGTATTACCATGGACTGTGGTTAAAAACGTTCGCAAAACACAGTACTAAAATTTATAAGGTCTGAAATGCATCCTACGTACATACAAAAAAGAAGTGTTTTTCAAAATGTTTGACCACAATACGCAATAAAAAATACACACGCGCGCGCACATACACACACACACAGCAGTTTCACAAGCGAGCACTTGCTATTACTACACAAGATATACGATGCCATTTCTATTTCATTTGACAAAGGTGCTGACTGAAATGATCTCACGATTCTTCAATGGATCATGAGCCAGTCTGAGAAACAACTCGTGTTGGTGTTTTATCATCTTCTCTCTCCTTCAAGAAGACATGCCACCTCTCAGGGACCTGCGACTTCGAGAGACCCTTGGCGCTGCCCCCCGTCCTTGTTGGCTAGTCTGGCCCATTGGAGCCCGTGGCTCACAGCTTTGTTCTCTCTGGAGGGCTGGCGTGTGCAGGGACGTAGTTGTCAAAGTTAACAGCACGCGGCCTCTCCCACCATCACCCACTGTCAACAGGGAGGGGACACACATACCTAGGAGACTGGGGGTCCCTCTCGTCGCAGAGAAACGCCTGAGCAGCTCCTGCGGATCCGCCCTGGTAAGTTAGGATCGGGATCGGGGTCTTCAGAACACCTTGACAAGACGGGCAAAGGGTGGACGCATCAGCCCCGTGTGGGTTTGGGCAATTCCTGCTGGCTTTTCCAAAAGCTTCGTCGGAAACGGTCGTTTCCATGATCGAACGACATGTGGCTGTAGAATTCTCTCTTAGGTAAGCCGATACCTCGACCCAGAGGATACGTAAGTTTGTTTCCTTTTAGTCCTGAGTAAACCCTGGGGCTGGTGGAGGGGGAGGTGACACCGGGCTGGTGTCACCAGTATTGTGAGCTGGCAAATGTGCTCCACACAGATGCCACAATACCACGCCGGGGACAGCGAGCCGGCCCTTTGCTAACACATGGCATACGCTCTCTCATCTAATGTTCACGGTTCTGTGTGATAAGAACCACTGTGATCCCCACTTTACAGAGGAGGAAAACTGAGGCTCAGAGATGCCAAATCGCTTGGGCAAAGCCAAGTATGTAGGTCAGTGTCACAACACCAGGGCCCACCCAAACAGGAAGCCTACAACAGAGCAGAGATATAACGTACCCCCAGTGGACTCACATCTGTCTCCACGTGTTCCTTCAGTGTCATGCAGGAGGCAGCTGATGGATGAGTCTCTCTTACCACTGATGTTTCTACCTCTCTCTCCCTCTCCCTTCCTCTCTCTGAAATCAATTTAAAAAAACCCAAAAAACCTAAACACATATCTTTAAAAAATGAAAACCGAAGCCAGAACATGCCTTTCTCCTCTCAGTGCCTCAGGACCCCCCATCGCCCCCAGAATAAAAGGCCAGGTGCTCACAGTTCCCCTGAGGCCCTTCCCGGTCTGCCCCTGTGACCTCCGTGTCTCCCTACCCAGCTTCTCTTCTCCTCATCCTTTCTGGGCTAGTCGCCGACCATTGCCCTCTCTTCAGCTCCACCTAACGGCCTCTGTCCCGGCCAAGGTCACAGCCTGGGACATTCTTCCTCTAGCCAGGCCCGGCCTCACTGCTTCATTGACTTCAAGTCTTGGCTCCAATGGCACCTTCTCCGTGAAGCCTTGTCTGAACATCCTGTTTAAAACAGCAGCCCCCACCGGGGCTGCCCACACTTTCCTTTTGCCCCGTGTTGTTTATTGTCGGTCTCACTCCAGTACAATAGACGCCCATGGGGGTGGGGCCGTTTTCAGTTTTGTTCACTGATGGGTTTCAAGAGCCAAAACTAGTGCCTGGCACATAGTAGGTGCTCAACATACATTCGTTGCGTGATACAGATGCTGTATGTTCAGACACATCCTTTTGGAAACTTCCGAAGGAACGGGGGCTTCAGGGATGCCTTCCTGGGGTTGAAACTCTTATGAGAGGCTAAAAGGATTTATGTCTCCTGAAGAAAGCATTTGAGGGACACAGAGAGATGGGCAGTGAGAAGCAGGGGAGAGTCACGAGGCTCCCAGCTTATGCCTGAACAACACCTGCAGGATGAAGGAGAGGGGAGACGCCTGAGACCCATCTCGGCATCCTAGCCTTGCAGCCCCATCACTCACAGCTCTATGCCCACCTGTGTGCTCCGGGAACCTGAGCAGTGTGGGGCAGCCCTGCCCATCTGGGCCAGATGAGACGCTGCCATTTGAGCCTCTCGGTCACTCTATTCCCAACTCCCCCACCCCCAACGCCAGGGGTCTAGGGATGTCCTGTGTTGCCAAGAGTCCCCTGTAGGCCACCCCCCCTCTCACAGGTTGGGCATCAGGTACATGGGCTCTGCGGCCTGATGGACTTGGGTTCAAATTCCAGATCACCTGGACCTCTCAGAGCCTCAATCTCTTCCTCTATAAAATGGGATAATGTTGCCTATACTAAAGAGTTGTTCTGAGCTGTAAGGACTTAGGCCTGTGTCGAGGGCATAGCAGAAGTTCCACAAACACTGACTCCTTCCACCGTCCGCCCCCACCTCACCGCTCACCTTGCTCAACAGCCTCTTCGACAAGCTTCTGGAACAAACTCAAGGCTCTCCGGTCCACGATCATGGAGACGCCCTTGTCCAAGGCCTGCAGGAAGGCGGCCAGAGCAATGGCGCCCGGTGGCCCGTCCGTCTCTTCCGGAGGCTCGTGGTTGAAATGCGTGGGGAACCCGGTGGTGAGGAGCACCGCATGGGCGTGGGACAGCGACAGAGAGGCCCTCAGCAGCTCATCTTTGCGGAGCAGGTGCCCGATGCCCCTGTTGCCTAAAATTACCAATCAAATCAAATCAAATCACACAATAATATAATTGTGCTTCAAGTAGAAACTCATGCAAACGGCAGTTTGTTTCTTTGTCTGTTTCAGAGGTAGTTTTGAGGGATGTGCCAGAGGCTGCCAACTGTTCACCAGAACGTGTCCTCTGCCCCTGCCCCGCTAGGGAAGGGCAGCGGGATACATGGCGGGCGGGGCAGCCTCTCTTTCAGTTAGCTGTGGCCACAGACTCGGTTCTCTCTAGGTAGCAATCCTAGACGGGTTGAAAGGGAATAAGAGTAGGAGTGATGTGCACCCCCTCCTGGCCATGTACCTCCCATGCACTCCTCCAAGCTCTTCCTTTCCTGGGGGCTGAGCTGTTGACAACTGGCGCCCTCTAGGGGTCCCATGAGGCGATGGCAGAGTGCTGGGTCCCTGAGTGACTGGGTGGAGCAGATCCCCTTCCTGTTGAGCTTAAATACTCACGCTGGGAGTCCCACCCTGGACTGTTATTTGAGCAAAGCATCTCGGGGTTTATTTGTTACGGCAAACCCCAATTCAGGGGACCACAGAAAGAGAAGGGACACAATACTGTCTCAGTTGGGGATTCCCCAAAAGAAGACCCTAAAACAGGGGTGGGCAACCTTTTTGTGAGTGTGTGCCAAAACCAGCAAAATCTCTGACTCAAAATTCTTCTGCGTGCCAACCCTAATTTTTTGAGAACATGTTACGCCTACTTGATATCTCTTAAGGTGTATGTATGTGAAGAACCTTGAAGAAATAATAAAATTCATTCGAGCAACAAAAACACAGTATATGATGATGAAAAATACATTTATTTTATAATGTATACATGTACACTGATAGTCCGACAGAAAACTTTATGACTCCGTTTGATATTATCAGTGGGGCTTTTGCTGCTGCATCACTGATGACAGAGATTTTACATCAGGTTTATATTTCGTGACCTTCAGAGATATGCACGAGCTACTACTTTCATCTGTCAGGCTACTCCTATTATGAGACTTAACAAAATTCATCACTGAGAACAAAGATTCACAATTGTAAATGGAAGATTATAAGAGAGGGTTTCGAGTGCCAGCAAAAGTTACTGGCGAGCCATGTTTGGCACGCGTGCCTGGGGTTGCCCACCCCTGTCCTAGGTCATAGGTTTCAGAAGCTCAACCACTGAGCCACGCTGGTTGGGCCATCCCATCATTTTAGAGCAGGAAATCCAGGCCTAAGAAGGCGAATGGTTTGTCCAAGGCCAGACAAATACTTTGGAGCTCTGCCGGGAAGAGCTCGATCCCCACTCTCCCGACTCCACAGACACTGCTCTCCACGGCTCCCGGGGGGCGGGGCAGGGCTTCTGGGTTCTGCCAGATGGGTTTCCTGGTTCTTGGTGAACTGGGAAGCACAGGACAACGTGGGGCAGTCCGCCCAGGGCTGTCAGGCGCCGCCTGTGGGATAACCTCTCCTTCACTGTCGACGGGGGAGGCATTCCCATTCTAGGGCTGGGAGATGACCAAGCCTCTGACATCTGACACTGCACAGATAAGATCAACAGTAATTGATGAGTCACACACGCTCACAGCCCAGAGGAGGACACTGCCTGCCTGTGGGGCCAGATAGGAGTCGCGCTGGGGAGCCGAGTGAACGGCCAGGAGCCGGGAAGCAGGCTTTGTCATGTCAAGCAGCTGGGCTGGCCCTGTGTCCCATGGAGGGAGGGGGTGGACTTGTTGGAATGATTCTGTGGCCTACCCACGACTGAGGGGTAATCAGGAGCTATGCCTGGTCCCGAGTAAGGAGAATGTGTGGTCAGGTCCCGTGAAGGCCTCCCAATCTTACCAGGTGTCAGAACAGCACATACTATTGAACCCTAGTTTTGGGCGAATGGAGGCCACATACTTCCCCTTCCTTGGCAAGGCTCTATTTTCAGTCTAAGGTGATACCTTTCTGCTTTTGTGAAGTGGTGGCAGATGGTCTGTGTTTTAATGGCCTTGCTAGGCAAAAAGAGAAAATTGATAACTTTCTGTTGAGCCTCAAACTTCTTTGGAAATGTGACTAGTCTATAAAATTAAAAAAAACCTATCTTGGAACCACTGCTCTACACTCTGCTGGCGCTCCTAATCTCTAGTTGAAGTCCACACCCCGAGTGAGGTCACTCCCTGAAGAACTGCATGGTTGCCTGGAGAGCAGGACAAACATAAATGGTATTTCTTAGAATGCAGGGCTGAGGGCAAGAGGACAGAGCCCTGATGGAGATAGAAATGTCAACATTTAATTTAAAGAAGCCTGTTACTTTAT